AAATCAACATGATGGCCGGAATGGACACACAAGCACTGGTTTAGCTATGAATAATTCAAAAGAAAAAAAAACTTGAAAATGTTTGCTTAAGCACAGAAAAGCTAATGCCAATCAAGCTAGCCGTCCTACAGAGAGGGGGCTACTGGTGCCTTAGAGCAAGGGGACCGTGCAAGGGTCTGTGTGCTAATGCTAATCTAGCTCTACTCTGCAGTGAGCGACGCCCGGTGCACGTTACCTGGACAGGTGGCAGTGCAGGCACTTTTCTGGACACTCTGGCCCTCGCAGGACGTCCCGCCGTTCAGGGGAGTGGGGTTGGTGCAACTCCGGCTCCTCTTCTGCCACCCTCGACCGCAGACAGCACTGCAGGCCGACCATGTGGCCCACGTGGACCAGCCACCGTGCACTGCTCGTGCGCCCAGTGCAAAGGAGAGGGGGAAACGAACACAGCGAGTCAGGATTACCCGACAAGCACAAGGATGATAAACAGCCACAAACATGAGCTCTGTGCTTAAAGGCAGGCCACGGGGACAACGGCAACTCACGAAAGCTATGTTAATGTCAACAGCTGTCAACGCTATGCTAACTCTAGTGTTGATTTGAGGCAGTTGCCATCTCAGTTGTTTTTACGTTCAATTCATGTTCATTTGATGTTTACACAGTTTCTGTTAATGGAACAGAACTTATCTACTACCAGCAAGCAACTAACACTATAATACTTTTGTATGTTGATATTAAAGGTACACCACAGAGGATTCCTTTTTTTAAAATATATTATTCAGCCAGTACATATAAAGTCACCAGAGTTGTGTGGCATGAAGAACTGTAAAAAAATATTTTTTTAAAATGCAAAGATCAAATTTGAATTAAGGCAGCAAAAAGGATGCAGAATTGCAATTCCAATTTGAAGGAAGCATAATCAAAAAGAACTTCAACAACAAAAATTCATGTAAATGTCTTTTTTTTTGTTTACTAGAAAAGACAAGACAAACTTTGAAAGATTGTTTGTCAAAGCCCTGGCTAAAGAAACTTAAAACATCTTATATTTAGAAGGTTTTATAGGCCTTTAAGAAAAATTGATTTATTGCAAATCTATTGCAATTGTATGTTTTAACCACAGATTGTGATAGAGAGCCCAAAATTCCATAGCGTACCTTTAACATACAATAGCTATATCCAAAATCGCATACTTCCCTACTATATAGCAGGCGAAAACAGTATGCGAACAGATTCACAGTATTCATTAAACAATAGGCGAAAAGTACCCAGATTACTACTTCCAAGATTCTGAAGTACATATCTGATGGACACTTTACTCTCCCATGAAGCCATGGGAGAAGATTTGTGAATGGTGGTGAAGCAAAGTAACTGATGCAGATAGGTCACATGACAATGGCAACAATAGAAATGTAGTAAGTCCGGATTTCATTCATACTAAATGCATTTATACTATATATAACTTTTTTTTTAATGGTTACAAAGTCATTACATATTCAAAATGAAGTGCGTGCTCAGAGAGTATGCAATTTCGGACGAAGTCAATGTTTCCAAATGGGTCAGGTGTTTACTCTATAATTTGCATGTCTACTTATACCAATTTTACTTGTTAAGGTTGATTTGCATACCAATTGCTAGCACAGTAGGCGGGCATTATCGCATTAAAAGAATAACCAGCCAATCACAATGAAGTGGAAACACCACTCTGACATGTTTATGCCTGCATTTTGCCATTCCCAAGTCTGAAACTTCATAGGTTTATCCTGTCACTTGTGTACTTGAAACGGCAGTCACACTAGACTTTGAGCACATAAAATTTCTTCGGACACTGCAACGGTCATGGTATGATGTCAAACTCAAAAGTATCTTTTTTTTTTTTTTTTTACAATAAATGTAACATATAACAAATATAAAAATAAATCCAAATGTTATAAACATATAATCCACTTTCCTGCAACGCTACAAACCTGTATCTTTAAAGTTTGTGTTCTTTTAATTCAGCTAAGAGGTCACAAGAGGTTTGTAATATTTGTTTAAATTTTGTACTGTTCCTCATCCAAATCGCTTGCTTCTGAATAAAAAAAAGTATTTGCATGTCTGGCCACATCTGGATGTGGTAACAGAACCAAACAAAATTTTCCTCAGTTGCCCTTGTCAAGTCGCAACACTATCAGTCAATCACCTTTTATGAGCTGTATATTAACAAAAGTCATCGCTAAATCTACAGAGCAAGCCGGGGGACACATGGGGGGTTGGATTTCTTAAAGGAAACAGCCTAGACTTCATCTCACAACGCTCACGCGGGGTGTATATTGGTTTTCTGCTCTACACCGATACACAGTATGGTTTTTATGGCACCAATATCCTGGCTCGTGAAATGCATAATCCTGCAAGGATTCCACAATGATCCCGAGTCCAAAGTTCATGCAGGGTTTTTAATCAAGTTCCCAGTCTCCTCACTCTTGGTGGGAGAATTCAGAGCAAATCTGATTTCTTCTTCACTCTTCTTCACCGATTTGTTGTCCTGAAGCCTTGATCGGCGGTCAGACTCTATATTGTGCCTGGAGCTGCTCTGTAATTCTGCTCTGGTCAGACCGAATCAATTCTTTAGCCTCTCTTCTACCACTGATTGCTCACCACGAAGAAGGAAATTGCGCAGCAACTCGGGTCCTGATTACCTCTTAGTGCACCGTTGTGTCAAGTCAAGTCCAGACTTGTTAAAATTCATCTCGGCCTCTGTCCAACAGCACTAATAACAGCTCTCACACCACCTATGGTTCAGCCAATAAGCAAGCCTGCAAGACTTCAAATTAGTAAACTGACATTTTAATGTGAAGCCATGGGGAAAAAAGAATAGCATGAAAGACCATGCCTAATAGTTCTTTTGATCAAAAGGTATTCACAGGGAATTTTTCTTTAATTAATTTCTACAATGGTAGCAAATTGCTTGGGGAACATTGCACAATTTGAAACCTCCAAATTGTAAGGCGCTGCACCTAGCATTCTTGTGTGATTTGTATTTTTCCCTGTGTGAGGGCTTTATTGATTGACAGCATAAAGAGCAAACAATAGAGTGAAAATGTTCTCGACTCACTTTTGCAGAGCCTTCCGTCACAATGTTCCCAAATCAGGCAATTCGAACAAAACGCAACAACTAATGTAATCTCGCTTCGTCTGAGAAATAATTGTCAGTTTAGTTCCCCTATTAAACACAACAAGTTGATTGCTCTGATTGACTTGCAGTCCCTGCATTAAAAAGCATGTCCGCATTTATTCCCGTTTATTGCAAATCACACAGCTGTCCCTTGACTTATTACCTTTAGGCTAGTCTTCATAATAAAACAAATACATTATCTCTGACAAAAGAGTTCAGATTCGCCATTGTTAACATGTCCGTCTGTGGTTTAGGAGTATTCTCAGTAGATCAGTCCCAGTACTGTACGATGTGTCGTGTGTGATTGACTCGCCCCGGATCAGTATAGAGCGTGTACAGGGTTGTAATGCATGCTACCTTTAGAACGGCGCTTGTCCTGGGACCCCTCCGGGGTTAGCGATGCTCTGCCACTGTGCATTTTAATAAAGGTCAGCTAGCTTATAAACCCTATTCATTAGTCACTTTCTGCCATTAATTCAGCAAGCCCAACTACAGTGTGAGTGTTTGTCAGCTCTGCTGAGATTTCTGAGACACTGTCTGGCTGCTTTGCTCCCAAATTGATAAGTTGTAATGTCGCTGCAATCATTCACAGCATGAACAGTTTTGGGGGAGCTAAGCTAAAGCTAATACAAAGTAACAACAGAATGTGCCCATACTGTAATGCTTAGTTTAAGATGGCTACAAGAAACATAATGGCCTCAAATGTATTTCAATCATGACAAATCTCTGAAGATTTTAGCATGGTGATGGATATGACAATGTTAATGTATTTGGTCGTGGCGGAATAGATCTGCTACGCTGCTGCTGAATTGCTGCTGCTGTTGGTTATTGCTGTAGTTGTAGATTATTACTGCTGCTGCAAGCAAGTACAGGAACTTGCTACTGCCAATGCATATGGCGATACGGTGCTGTGAGTATTTAAGACATAATGCTGCTGCACAAATAGCATATAAAATAACCCAGTAGCAGATCTATACAAGTGGAGCTGGGGAAGGTGGAGGGTTTCAGAGAAACTCTCAAAGCGCGCTGCAGGAATCTCAAGTGAATGCTAGCCAGCCATATAAATGCAAGGCAGTAAGCTCATTGGCTGCATATGCAGCATGAACCAATCAGCTTGTGCCAAGTTGTTTAACTCTCTGAATATCATCAGTTACATTAGCAACCCGTCAGCCTGCGCCATCTAGAGTTTCGTGACTGAACTATATATTTGGACACTTAAGCCACATCTACAAAGTGCATGTAAATATATGATATAAAATGCAAATGCATTTATATTTACATTATGTAATAAAATATTCAAGAAAGTAGCAATTATTTTCAATAAAATTATTCAAATGACAGGGTTCTCACACCTTCTGACCAATTGCTGAGCACTTTCTTTTCTAGTTAATTGTTACTGAAGAATTAAAAAAAAAGTATTTTATACTTTATGGATGTACGTCTCCATATTTAAAGAAAATTATATTCACAAAATAGAAATTATGTGGAGCAACTTGCAAATCAAACTTGCAATGAATTTCATTCTCACCTAAAAACTGAAAAGATTTAGATAATTTCCATGTTTTCTTCAGGCCTATAAATAAATAATTAATGTTCAAAATTAATTGGATGGAGACTACAGACAGTGCTGTTATAGTAAACACCGATAAACTTTCGCAAGGCAAAGCAGTAAGTACATTTTGTTCTCAAAGTCTGATCAAAACAGAGTTGTCCATCAAAGCTAGCCTACCTCTCTCAGTAAATTACCCCTGACTCTGGGTCAAAACCATCCCAAACTTTTGTCAGACTGTTGAAAGGTGAAGTCTATTTATCTGTGATTTAAGAATGGAACAAAGTATGAGAAGAAACACACCGTAGACAATCACAGTAGCCGAGGAGCTCTTTCGTCGAGCCACAATGTTCTTGGCCATGCAGGTGTAGTTGCCTGTGTCGGCCAGGCGGGCTTGTTTGATGATGAGATTATGGTCCACGGTGATGAAGAAATTGGGGTCAGTCTTGGGGTCGATCAGCTCCTCGTTTCTCTGCCACTCCACCTAGAGATATACACAAGAGAAAACATTTCACAGCTTCAATCTGGCTCAAACGGATGGAAAACACTCTGTATGCTCCTGGATCCAGCGGCCATTCTGGGCAGCTCCCAAAGACCCTGCCTGGGCTGAAGATGTTAAATTTTGGCAGGCACTGTATGGCAGCACAGGGTCTTTTTCTTTTTTTTGTTTTGTACAATAAAAAACGAGGAAATCAGAACATTTCTTTAGCACTTTGATATCAGAAATATAACTAAAAGCAGGAATTGGGATTATGATAATACTTGAAAAAAGACTGGGAAAAAAAGATACAGAATGAATGAAGTCAAACATATCAGTCACTTTTGCAGTGAAAGTGGAGTTGAATACGACAATACAGCACTGATACAGCTGCTGTTAGGTTTGGAAGTTTGGATGGCCATTTTGAGCTGCAACAGCTGGTCGCAGGCTGGTCTAGTCCTGCACCAGCGCAAAAATACATGTATTATTAATGGGACTCCCAGAGCTGCCAAATCACATTGTGTGGTTCCTCATCGAAGTCCAGCTCATGGAACAGACGGAATATGGTGAAAGACGTCAGATCTCTGGCTCGTTGGTATATTTGTGCGAGTACATTAACGAGAGGGATAATTAGCAGAGCTGTTGGGTGTTAACATGTTTACTTGTTGCTCTCACCTCTGCAGGAGGAACACCTTCAGGAGGATGACAGTGCAGAAGGACTTCCTGATCCAGTGCCACTTCCTTACCCAGCGGTTCCTCCTCAAAGTTCTTCCTCAGATCTGCAGAGCAAAATTATTTTATTAATTAGTTATTAGGTGCATTTGGAACATATATGTTCAAACTTAAAAGCACAACTGTAACTAAAACATATAAGCTTCATCGATGTGCATAATAAACTAAAGATAATGTAATGGTTGCGTATGCCACGTAATGCGCAAAAAAAAAAAAAAAAACACCGGAACTTGTAGTGCACAGTATATTTAATATTAAATAAGTTTAATAATTAGCGTAACATTAATTTGGTTAGTATTCTCAGAGGAGTGGCATGGTGAGTATATGTTCTGACATGTTGTGCATATGTGTGCACGATATGATGATGCATTATACACAACTGCAATTGTGAAAACACTATTTACTCAGTAATAAATTATGAACATGGTTAAATATGACTAGCTGTGGAATGAGCAATATTCAGTTAGTTAAAATGCATGAGACTGAAACTGCATGATAAATGCATGAACCTGGTTATTGTGCATTTAAAACAAATTTATTTTATTAATACTACTACAGAAATCTTCTGTTTCATTTTTGCATCACTGACAAATTAGCATCAGGCTTATTAGTTTATGTTACAACTGTGTAATCCAAATGTACATACATTTTATTTTCAATTCAAATACGTAAGTCTTAAATTCAGGCCTGTGTGTGTGTGTAGATTTTATATAGTCTTGTAGTCTTTAGTTTTAAAATTACTGTCAGTGTGAAGAGGGCATTAATGAAAAGTCTAGGGGAAACCACTGAGATTTTAAACGGATTGCATGTTTCTCTTTTTTTCTATGGACTCTCAAGCCAAAATATTGATTAAAATCCTCCCGTAGTCATAAAGTGGATCAGAATGTGTACATGTATCACCAGGAAGGTAAACTGCCAAGCCATTTAATCTAACATTATCTGTGTCATATTTAGCAATGCGTTTTTTGGTTCAGAGCTCCTCCATATAATAACTCAGGGCTTTGTTTGCACCGTGTACGTTCAACAGGAGCCGTGAGCGGCCTTTCTCTCTTGGAAGGATCCATATCACAGACCCGAGTGCTTATTAGACCCTGCTTGGTTGCTTCAGAGAATGATTGTCTGCAGCCCCCAGGCAAAGCATCAACAAAGAGGAATTGCATTATCTTCCTCCACTACTCGATACCGCACCGAGGCTGTGGTATCCGCACGACCACCCACTCTACCTAAAACCCCTGGGACACGTGTTGATGCGAGTCGAATTGTATTTGCTCGTCAAAATTGCATTACTCTTGATGGAGGGCTTTCTTGCCGTCCTGACTACGGATGGCACAATTTCAAAACAATATTTGCATAAACGTTTATAGCTGTTATGACACGAAAAAGCTTTTGGAAGAAGGTGTCCATTGTGACAGCGGACTAGTCTTCGGTTCAGATGCTGGGGAATAAAATCTCTCTCAATAACGACGGCACTGCCAGTCATTTAGTTTCCTCAAAACAGATGTCATGCCTGTCTTCAGCAATCAGGCCTCGGCAAACATTAAAAGGTGAAGGGGGTCTTTGACATTCGATTTAATTAAATAGGATTTAATGGGAATAGGAGAGGCACAAAGGATTAGATGGCCATCAAGTCCTGAGATGACATTGCCATGACTTTGAGAGGAAAACTCTGAAAGGAAAGAGGTTTGTTAAAGGAATATTTCACCCTAGTACAATTACAATGAATGGGGACTGAGGCTTTCAAGCTGCAAAAAAGACTGAAGCACCATACAAATGACACAAAAGTGGTCCATGCTATATTGAAAGTGCTCAGAACTTATATGGCACTTCGTGTGGAGGGACAGACTGAAAGTTATGTAGCACACAAACCGTTTGAACCACTTTTATAGTACCTTTTCAGAGCCCCTGGTCGCTGTAATCATTCTTGGGTGAGACGTTTATTTTTTCTTCTAAGAGGAGCATTTCTTTAAAAGTCCTTCTCATTACCCCAAAGTAAATCTAGATAAATATCCATTCGGAATATTTATAAGCACCATACTGAGACAAATCCCAAATCCAGTTTAATCGCACAATGCTTTAATCATTGTTTTAGACAAAATATATATACACATGACTGTGTTGTATCTTCCTTTAGATGCTACTTTAAAGAAAGGACATCTTCTCCTCTGTTTTGTGCTGACGTTTGTACTGAGCGAGGCGATGCGGTGGTGCGGTTTCCTGGTGTTTAATCACACAGAGATATCAAAACCACCAGGCCTCTTGAGGCAACTATAAAGTGTTACATTGCAGATTAGCAGATTTCCTTGCCACAGGCTCTTCCTGATCAAACTTCCCAATCAAACATTAAATAAGTCATATAAAACCAACTGAATCAATCAGCCTTGGGGAAAAACGAAACATAAGTGTTAGATTGATTGGCTAAATGGAATTTCAAAATAACTTTTAATAGAAAGTATATCGTTATCAAAACACTCTACGGTGGAGTGATAAAAAAGAGCGAATGCTACTGTGAAGTAGAGCACTTTAAAGACATTAGGGACAAATTAATTTGGTTAGACATGCTTTTTTACCAAAACACATTGTTTGCACAGTATTTGAGTATTAAGGTATTCAAATAAATGGAGTTAACATCTATGGGAGGAAACACCTGTTAAGTAGCTATTGTGTTTTCCACTCACAGCACCCATAGAGGTCAGCTATTAATGTTATTTGCCCTTTCAAGGTCTGTATTTTTTAGTGGAAGATGGCAATTAACTCATTTGCTTTAACCCGTGATTCTCAATTGTGTTGCTTTGGGACTGAGATTTTACATTGGGGTTGAAATGATGAAATGATGCTCATACCAACATATTATTCAATTCAGTATACAAAATAACTAACTAACTAAATAAATAAAAATACTGAAATTAATTATTAGTATATTATATTAAAGGGGTGGTTCACTGGTTTTTTTCTAGGCTTGATTGTGTAAGCAGCGCAGCATGGCCTCGCCCCCTTTGTTGCCTTTTCCGGAGGGCAGGGTTTATCTGGGTTTGTTACGTCACGAACCCGGGAAGTAACTTCTTGTAGTCCCTACCAGCCGTTTTTGTAGGCATTAAACTGCCAGAATTTTAAAAGACTATATCTCTGTTTGCATTGAACTTTCAGCTTTGTAACTTTGCAGATATTGTTTATGCTCAAACAGCAACATTACACACTAACTAACGTTAAATCGCAATGAACCACCCCTTTAAGCCAATAACTGATGGCACAAAACACATTTATCCGCCTAAACCCATATAATGTAGTCTGGTTTCTTGTATTGTGAAGTTTCTTTGAATGCACAACATTTAATGTCGGTAATAACAAGAAAAAATACTGGAAATGTTTTCTTCCATTTTTGTTGATAATCACTCAACTTATTATTTAAGAAGTTAATACATTTATTCAGCAAGGATGCATTACATCGTAGTAAAGACTTATATTGTTACAAAAATAAATAAATTCTACTATTTCATCAAATAAACCTAAAATTTATATATATATATATATATATATATATATATATATAT